GAGGAGCATAGTGTCTAGATCTAAGGAAGTCATGCTACCCCTCTATTCTGCTTTGGTTAGACCACACCTGGAATATTGTGTCCAATTCTGGGCACCACAATTCAAGAGAGATATTGACAAGCTGGAATGTGTCCAGAGGAGGGCGACTAAAAGGATCAAGGGTCTGGAGAACAAGCCCTATGAGGAGCGGCTTAAGGAGCTGGGCATGTTTAGCCTGAAGAAGAGAAGGCTGAGAGGAGATATGATAGCCATGTATAAATATGTGAGAGGAAGCCACAGGGAGGAGGGAGCAAGCTTGTTTTCTGCTTCCTTGGAGACTAGGACGCGGAACAATGGCTTCAAACTACAAGAGAGGAGATTCCATCTGAACATTAGGAAGAACTTCTTGACTGTGAGAGCCGTTCAGCAGTGGAACTCTCTGCCCCGGAGTGTGGTGGAGGCTCCTTCTTTGGAAGCTTTTAAACAGAGGCTGGATGGACATCTGTCAGGGGTGATTTGAATGCAATATTCCTGCTTCTTGGCAGAATGGGGTTGGACTGGATGGCCCATGAGGTCTCTTCCAACTCTTTGATTCTATGATTCTATTCTATGATTCAGAGGTAGTGAGCTGTGTGATTCTTTCCTATTCTATAAAATTCACTCCCACTCCATGAATAACAATTTGGGAGAAAGGTGGGATAAGAAACTGAGGGCTGGAAAGATGGAGAGGAAAGGCTGATCAGCTAATTAGTAGTCTCTGAAGCACAGTCTAGAACAGGTTTAGTGAATCTGAGCTGCCATTGCGTAGTCACATTAGATAATTGAGACAGGAAAGGGGCAGAGGTGGGCAAATATTATCCCTTTGGAATTGCAGGGGAAGTGCCACTGGCTGCGCATGTCAATGAGAGAAGGGGAATTATCAATTTAGCATGGCCTGATAGTAATGCAAATGTCACTAGAAATTTTGATCTCATACTTAAATGCATTTCCAGAGTTCTCTGATCGCTCTCCCTTTGTTGAATACCATACACATACCAATGGGGACAGCCAGAATGTCTCTGAGTAGCCACTGCATGTTGACTTTGAGTGATGTTAGTTGAGATTGCGAACAAGAGATGGGGAGGCTGCAGGAAGAGAGCAGGTTGACTCACAAATCAGTGACAAACAGAATGGTTTGGTATACAACTTTCATTGAGTATTACTCAATACAAGAAGTTGAAAGAGTATATTTTGATTCTTATGTATTACTAGCTGTCCCCTGCCACGCGTTGCTGTGGCCCAGTCTGATGATCTGGAAAATAAAGTAATAAGAAAGTGTTGATTCCTAATATAAGTAATTTCCTTATGCTTGTGGGTAAACAGTATTTCTTGTTGTTTCTTTGTCAGTGTTGATGTGGAGATTGTCTGGTTTGCCTACTCTGGAATATGCAACATATAATTGCCCTTCTTTAGGGGTTCCCTTCAAATCTATGATGGTATATCTGTATGTGTGTGTGAATCATATCTATCTATTTATATCTATATCTATGGCTGGATGGCTCTTTGTCAGGAGGGCTCTGATTCCATTTTCTTGCCCTGGTGAAGAGAGTTGGACTGGATGGCCTTAAGTATTTTCTGTTGGTCATGGGGGTTCTGTGTGGGAAATTTGCCCCAATTCTGTCGTTGGTGAGCTTCAGAATGCTCTTTGATTATGGATGAACCATAAATCTAAGTAACTATAGCTCCCAAATGTCAAGGTCTATTTCCCCCAAACTCAATCTGTGTTCATATTTGGGCATTTTGAGTATCAGTGCCAAGTTTGGTCCAGATCCATCATTGTTTGAGTCCACAGTGCTCTCTGGATGTAGGTGAACTCCAACTCCCAAACTCAAGGTCAATGCCCACCAAACCTTTCTAGTTTTTTCTGTTGGTAATGGGAGTCCTGTCTATCACCTTTGGTTCAGTTCCATCATTGGTGGGGTTCAGAATGCTCTTTGATTGTAGGTGAACTATAAATCCCAGCAACTACGACTCCCAAATGACAAAATCAATTTTTGAGTGAAGGACATGCATTGGGTTATTGGGTGTCTTGTGTCCAAATTCGGTGTCAATTCCCCCAGTGGTTTCTGAGTTCTGTTAATCCCACAAACGAACATTACATTTTTATTTATATAGATTATTTTTATTTGAAATACCTTCATATGGGGTATGCAAAATTAATATTCACCAATATGTACAGCAATTTCCCTTTGGAGTCTAAAAGCCTCCAAAGTTGGTATGAAACCAACTTAAGAAGACCCAACAGACAGCTTTAGTAGAAAGCATAGTTCAGCGATTCTCAACCTGGGGGTCGAGACCCTTAGGGATCGTGAAGGGGTGCCAGAGGGGTCACCAAAGACCATCAGAAAATACAGTATATTCTGTTTGTTATGGGGGTTCTGTGTGGGAAATTTGGCCCAATTATATTGGTAGGGTTCAGAATGCTATTTGTAGGTGAACTATAAATCCCAGCAACTACAACTCCCAAATGTCAAGGTCTATTTTCTCCAAACTCCACCAGTGTTCACATTCGGGCATATTGAATACTTGTGCCAAGTTTGGTCCAGATCCATCATTGTTTGAGTCCACAGTGCTCTCTGGATGTAGGTGAACTACAACACCAAAAGGTCGATGCCCACAAAACCCTTCCAGTATTGGGTTGTTGTAGGTTTTTCTGGGTTATATGGCCATGTTCTAGAGGCAGTTTCTCCTGACATTTCGCCTGCATCTATGGCAAGCATCCTCAGAGGTAGTGAGGTCCTTCCAGTATTTTCGGTTGGTCATGGAAGTTCTGTGTGCCAAATTTGGTTCAATTCCATTGTTGATGGAGTTCAGAATGCTCTTTGATTGTAGTTGAACTATAAATCCCAGCAACTACAGCTCCCAAATGACAAAATCCAACCCCACAAGTATTGAAAGTTGGACATTTCATGTATTTGTGTCAAATTTGGTCAATCCTCCCCCAACCCCAAGAGTACTCAGATTGGGGCATGTTGGGTATTTGTGCCAAATTGGGTCCAGTGAATGACAGTACATCCTGCATTAGATATTTACATTACGATTCATAACAGGCGCAAAATTACTGTTATGAAGTAGCAACAAAAGTAATGTTATGGTTAGGGGTCACCACAACATGAGGAACTGTATTAAGAGGTCGCGGCATTAGGAAGGTTGAGAAACACTGGCATCGTTAATCTGTTTGTGCCTGAAATGCATGGCTGCGTGTTTCTCTTCCCTGTTGCGTAATGTGGTTGTCTCTTCCCTGCTTATGGAAATAATCATTTTTGTCCCATTGAAACAGATTGGGATCATGTTTTGAAGTGCTTGTTAGAGAGATGGGATCCAGAATTAATTGAATCTTGTGGTCTTTGACTGTTTTTATAATATGCTTGGAATCCAGATTGTTGAGTTTGTATAAGGTAGAAGTTCAATTTCTGTTTTGGAAAGAAATTCCTATCCTTGTGCTGCCCACCCTCCAATTTTGGTATTTATTATGTGTAGGCATCTCTGACATTGTGAGTCTCCTTTCTGGAGAGAAAAAAAAATGCAGGTAATAAATAAACAAACAAACAAACAAACAATGATAATGTCGAAGGCTTTCATGGCAGGAATCACTGGGTTGTTGTGAGTTTTCCGGGCTGTATGGCCATTTTCCAGAAGCATTCTCTCCTGACATTTGGCCCACATCTATGGCAGGTATCCTCAGAGGTTGTGAGGTCTGTTGGAAACTAGGCAAGTGGGGTTTATATATCTCTGGAATGATGTCCAGGATGGGAGAAAGAACTCTTGCCTGTTTGAGACAAGTGTGAATGTTGCAGTTGGCCACCTTGATTAGCATTGAATAGCCTTGCAGCTTCAAAGCCTGGCTGCTTACTGCCTGAGTGAATTATTTATTTACTTACTTACTTGCTTCATTTCTGCCTTGCCTTTCTCAACCCGAGAGGGGACTCAAGATGGCTTACAAATTCTGCACTCTTGTCCATTTGGGACAAGGGTGAATGTTGCAATTGGCCACCTTGGTTAGTATTGAATAGCCTTGCAGCTTCAAAGCCTGGCTGCTTCCTGCCTGGGTGAATTATTTATTTACTTACTTACTTCATATCTCCCTTGCCTTTCTCAATCTGAGAAGGGATTCGACGAAAATTCGATGCCACATAGGTAAACAAGAAAACACATCTCATAAAACTATAAACAATCTAAGCATATAAACACTTAAAACTCGTAACGATCTATCAAGCAGATTAAAAACCACATATAAGACGCCTAGTCATGATCTCATGTCCGAATTGTTTTCCAAAATTCATAGTTCGTTATTCTTTGTTGGGCAATGATTAGCTGGCCCTGATTGTTTCTTGTCTGGAATTCCCCTGTTTTTGAGTGGAAACCTCGCAACCGTTGTTCCGTGTCCTAGCTTCCCTGGAGAGTAGGACACGGAACAACGGCTTCAAACTACAAGAGAGGAGATTCCATCTGAACATGAGGAAGAACTTCCTGACTGCGAGAGCCATTCAGCAGTGGAACTCTCTGCCCCAGAGTGTGGTGGAGGCTCCTTCTTTGGAAGCTTTTAAACAGAGGCTGGATGGCCATCTGTCAGGGGTGATTTGAATGCAATATTCCTGCTTCTTTGCAGGGGGTTGGACTGGATGGCCCATGAGGTCTCTTCCAACTCTTTGATTCTATGATTCTATGAACCTCTGAGGATGCTTGCCATAGGTATGGGCAAAATGTCAGGAGAGAATGCTTCTGGCACATAACCATACATCCCGGAAAACTCACAGCAACCCAATAATAATGATAATAACAGCAGCAGCTAACATACAATGGAGTATGTTGGAGCGCACACCTGGGGAACTCTAGGGTGATTTCTGATTTCCTGAAGTGGGACAAGCGCACACACAAGGTGTGATGTTTTCCCATCTGAAGATGATGAAATTAAGCTGGCAGTCTTGACGTATTGTGCATTCATTTGGATTGCAAACAACGAAATATTCTCTCTTTTTCAGTGGGAGAAACCGCACCCCGCCTGAGCTCCCCGCCTGAGCCGCCAAAGATGTCTGTAACGGTGCCGTCTGTCAATATTGACGATGAGCTTTTGAGCTTCAGTTCTATCCATGGGAGTTCGGATTCTTCTGGGGCAGATACGCTTTGAAGCCCCGGGAAAGCATTTATGAGGGGAAAGAAGCCATCCCAGCTGTTGGGCTGAAATAATGGGAGAGGCAGGCGTTGCCTCCAGAACCAGTGGTTTGACGTGGAATCAGATTACTTTTCATCTCCTGCATTTTACGTGTGCATCTGTGTGTGTGTGTGTGTTTTGCATGTTAATATGTATACATTTTTTACAAAACAAATTAAATATATTTTTGTCTTATTTTTAAACAAGAGTTTAATCATTTCTGCATATTTATGCATTCTTATGATTTTATTTTGACCAGACAACGCGGCATGTTGGGAGGAGGAAGATATTCGAGACGTGTAGAGGGAACATAAGAAAGCTGCCTTAGAAAAATCAAAGCAATGAGTCAAACCTTTGTGCCGGCAGGACTGCTGACCAACAAATCCTGGGAGAGTGGGTCGAGCTCCCTCTGTCAGCTCCAGCTCTCCATGCAGGGACATGAGAGAAGCCTCCCACAAGGATGGTAAAACATCAAGACATCCAAGCGTCCCCTGGGCAACTTCCTTGCAGACAGCCAGTTCTCTCACACCAGAAGCGACTTGCAATTTCTCAAGTTGCTCCTGACATGAAAAAAATCTTTCTTCCTTACACGGTATGGTCCAGAGTTGGGAAAGTTACATTTTTTAGACTTGTAGCTCTCAGAATTTCCTAGTGTCATGGCCACAGGACATGAGTATCAGAGAGTTGTCCAACCATGTGTATACGAAATACACAATATCCCAGGTCCTGGTGTTTTTTTATTTACTATCAGCAATCTTCTTTGTGGGGGCTCCGAGTTGTGGAATATCTTAATTGGCCTTAATATTGATATCGTTTTGGCACCAGATCAAAACTTGGCCTTTTATTAAAGCCTTTGGGCCTAATTGATACATTCCCAATAGCCATTGGACAAAAAATCTGAAGACCAATCTGGCTTTGAATGTCCACTGCGTGACTTTGAGCAGGTCACACTCTCTTAGGGAAGCAAAGGCAAACCTTCTCTGAGCAAGTCTTGCTCAAATGATTTAGGCCGGATTTATACTGCCATCATAAGTGCCTATGCACCATCACTAGATGCTGATGAAGACATCAAGGAAAATTTTTACTGTCAGCTGGACACAGTCCTATCAGAGATACCTAAGGAGGACAAAATCATCTTCCTGTCGACTTTAATGCAAGAGTAGGGCGAGACTTCGACCTGTGGCCAGGGACCATAGGAAAAGACAGGGTTGGAAACAGCAACTCTAATGGCATCCTGCTTCTCACCAAATGTGCGGAACACAACCTTGTCATCACCAACACGCTCTTCCGCCAGAAAAACAAGTTCAAGACATCATGGAAGCACCCCCAGTTCAAGCATTGGCTCCTCTTAGATTACGTAATCACATGTGCCAGAGACCGCCATGACGTGCTCCTCACAAGAGCCATAACAGGTACTGACGACTGCTGGACTGACCACAGGCTAATCCGATCCATGATGGCTATCAAGATTGCCCCCGAGCGCAGACTCCAAGGAAGAAAGACAAGGTGCAAAATGAACACCTAAGCCCTTCAGGATCCCTCCAGACGAGCCCTTCTCCAAACAACACTCAGGGACCATCTACCCACAAAACACCCTGAAAATGTTGAGGAACATTGGAACAAACTGAAGACCTCCATCTTCACAGCCTGCGAAGAAACTATTGGATATCAAACGAAGAAACATCAAGATTGGTTTGACGAAAATGACAACGAGATCCAACAGCTAATTGACAAGAAAAGGAAAGCCTTCCAAGCATGGCAGAGAGACATCAACTGTGCTGTTAAGAAAAAGATCTATGCCAGCGCAAAAGCTGAGGTCCATAGAAGGACAAGAGAACTCAAGAACATCTGGTGGACAAAGAAGGCTGAAGAAATCTAACACCTGGCAGATACGTTACAACTGTACCCTCGGGTCACTTCTGAAATGATAAACATTATCTCTGAATTATGGTGACCCTTGGTAAGATTTCCCCTAAGGAGGTATGGTGGATTCTCCTTCATTGGAAGTGTATAAAACAGCCCACTTCTCAGGGGTGCTTCAGTGCAAAGAATTGGGCTAGATGGCCCTTGGAGACACCTTCAACTCTACAAAGTAGTAATTCTGAATACCCTTTTTGTGGCTCAGGCAGACATGGAGCATCTTGTCCCTTGCTTCTTTTGTATATATGGCAGGCATACAGATGCAGAGATGGGTCTGTAGGCAAAGGATTTGATGACTTCCAGGCTTAGCTGTGTGTATATATATGTTTGTCAGCTTTGGAGAAGTGAGAGCGGATGGTCTGAGGTTTGTCTGAAGTCCTGGATTCCTGCCGTGCATTTTTGCAACTCGGGACAGGAATCTGGAAGTAGGCGGACGTTGCTAAATTGGAGGAAATGTGCCATGCGCTGCAACATCCTCACAAAGGAGAACTGCTTGTCATCAAATTGATAAGCCAGATACTTGCATGTTTGGATGTGTTTCACAAGGTGACAAGTGTCCAAATAACTGACAACTCCCCCAGCTTCAACTCCCACGTATTCAGCTGTTTGTTCAATCTGAGGTTATGAAATGCTCGCTTTGGCCTTGGTGATTCTTAGTACAAATATTCACAGCTCTCCCTTTCTCGACTCAAGACAGTTTTTGCAGTCAGTGGCTTTGCCTGATTTTCGAGATTGGGAGACAGGAAACTCTTTCCATATTGTAACCTTCCTTGAGACCTTGGAGCCAGGCATGCTATAAATCTTAAGGAGAGACCAGCGTTCCCCTGTTTTTAATATGTTGCTAAGCACTGCATCAAGCATTCTGCGGAGGGACTGACGGCAGAAAAGGCATTGCTTGCAAAGGGCGAAAATCCCATCTCCTCCATTACTAACACTTTCTATTGCACTGAAAAAGGCAACTGCAGATCAGTTTCAGATATGCATTTCAATGTGACTTCCCAACCAAAAATATCACATTCCCTCCCTGTTGTCCTCCAGAAAATGGAAGGAGAGCAAAGGTGTGTGCCTTACCTGCTGCAGGAGGGCCGTAGGTGTCCACAATCCAGCTGTAGCATTGAGAGGCCGAGATGGAAGAATCCATCTCACGCATCTATGTTTCTTTGCTTATTTATACTCAGGGTTCTCAGACTTCAGTCTTAGCCTCAAATCTCAGGGTTTTGTCTCTTTTCTCTGATTCTTTGGATGGGAAGAGGGATCTCAAGATGAGAGCACCATCTTGAAAAATTTTTGTGAGTGGACAATTAACCTGTTCTGTCGCGCGCTGGGCTTGAAACGAATTGCCTTTAATACAGGACGTGCAACTTTAGCCCAGCAGGAAGCCAGGGGGCCCAAAGAGAAATTCGTAAGGATTTTCACCATAAACAGTCTTTATAGGGCTTGTGAAATATAACAAAGTCTTTTATTGGTGAACAATCAACAGAAACTTCTTTTGTCTTCAAAAGGTTAAACAAATGCTTCCAGGCTTTTGTGCAACTGGTGGCTTCTAACTGTTACTTCTGGTGCAACTGGTGGCTTCTAACTCTAAAGGAAAATCCCTTTCCAAACTTCTCCCAGGCTGACTGTGATCCTAAACCTAACTGATGTGGATCCACTACCGGGCTGAACTGCGTCTCAAAGCACCGAGTGGACCTACCAGTAGGCCTGTAGTCACTTAGCTGGAGTTCTTGATGTTTAAAGCTGTTATTCCCTCCAAAATTCCTCAGGGCTGTAAGGCTTTTTCCCTGGGAACGTTTGGGAATCTTTAGATGCTCTTAAGACTGTTCTCCCTCGGGAAGTCTTAAGGGTTGAAGCCTTTGTACAGGAGAAAGTCTGTACACGTCCTGTACATTAACTTTCCTTGCTGAGACTGACTGAAAATGGCTCCTTTCCCTTCTCAATTGTCTTGAACAGGGGGCAGAACCAAACTTAACGATGATGGACAGGGGGCCTGCCCTATAACCGAAAACTTTAACAGGAAGCCACCCTTCTGCAGAATCCCAAGCCTTGGGCTACAAGCAAACACTTAATACAAGGCAAATAAAGTGGGAGTTTCTGGTACAGCTGTACCAGCACATAACCAACCCCAGTTGTTTTATTCGATATGGTCTATCTGTTGCACTCCAGAACAGGAATAACCCTCTGACTTTAAAACACCACATGTTGAGTAGGGAAAACAATCCTTTTATTAAATATAAGTAAAAGCAGCAAAGTAAAAAAGGCACTTCAAGGAGATAGATAAATCCAATTAGGTAAGAAGATAAGCAGGAAAAAATTAGTCCAAGGTAGAGTTCAGCAATGTCCAAAAGCAAAGTCCAAAAGTCTCTAACAAAATCCAAACAACCAGGAAACGTTGATCCAAGGCCTGAGCAGGTAATCACAAGAGACAAAAACCAGACAGGAAACTAGAAATTTTTAAGCATTGAATCTTCCAAGCAAGGCTTCTATGAGACGAGGACAAGAACTTAGCAGGATTCTAAACTATGCTTCTTCTGGCAATATTTTCCATGTTTGAAACTTTTAAACCTTTCCAAGCACTCAGAAACTGGTTTCGCTTTCTTTTAGTGGCCCTTATCTGTTTGTGTTGAAGCCTCGCAGAACACCGAAGGCCTTCTCGGCCTGTCTGTTTTGACTAATTTCCACCTGCCTATCTATATGCTCCGAGTTGTTTTCAAGCCCCAAATCCTGGGAACTCTCTGGAAGCAATTCAGGGAGTAAACCATAATCCCTATACCCCGTAGGAACATTCTCATGGGAAACTATGCTCAGGTCACTCTGTCATTCTCTATCAATATGACTGACCAAACCATTGTCATCTTGAACCTCATTTACATCATTCCCCACATCCAAAGCACCCTGATCCTGAAACACAATCACAGGCAGAACTCCAACACTATCTTATCAAGAACTACAAATCTGAGGGTGACCAGTACATAGACCATGTGGCGTAATGTAAAAATAAACCACGTGTAGTTCACATTTGATCAGTCCACACATTACCTTGCCAGAGAAAGAAAATATGCCATACAGGTGAACAATAAAGAACAAGTAGTTCACTCTTCTCAGTTCACAACAACCTATGTACAATGTGATCGGTTGCACCAACTCGCATAATGTCCTTTTATGAGAGATTTAAAATGGTCTTTCTCTTTCTGTCCATGTGGATAAACTCCTTCAGCAGCTCATGAAGCAAGAGTACACTCCAAACTCTGTCTCTCTCTGCTTCTGTCTTCAAACGGTCTGTCTGCAC